GCATTCCTGATCAGCACCCTCTTCCCCTTTCCATCTACTCCCTCTTTTCTTTTGTCTAACTAGTTAGTTTTGAAATTCTCTCCTTTACATTTTAAACAGGTGCCATTTATGACACCACCTCTTCTCTATTGGATTCCTAGGTCCATACATCTGTGTGTGTGTATATATGAAAGCAAGTCTGTGTGCTTGCCTACATTGAGGTATTATTTATTCCATGCAAGGGGACAGACAAACCATTTGACAGTGAACATAAGGATATAATGCCAGTTGTGAACAGTGCAAATTGGTCATTTTCACATCATGTACTTGAGGGCCTGATTTCATACAAAACATTTGACTGTATATAAAATTACTGGAAGTGCACAGGTGAGCTGCATCTGAAATATGTTTCTGCAATTTAAGCTAAAATTCAGATAGTCTCAAAGATTTTCTAGGTCCATATCAGAATGTGCGAGACCTGGATCTGTCCTCGCTCACTCCTGGGAGCCAGAAATGTCTGTCCTACAAAAACTGCTGAGTACATGTTTGACAAAATTCAGCTCCAGAATTCTTGGCCTCAAATAGAAGAGAGAATTTCTACCAGGAACTAGTCAGAGAAGTGCACTAGAGCACTTTGCAGTGCTCCCAGTCTCCCTCCTGTATGTATGTAATGATAAAGCCTCTGCGAAAAGGGGTTCTAGTTAAGTCAATATAATCAGCTGTTTTACAATGGGTAAAAATAAACCAAGAAGTGAAATGCTTCACTTTGGGTAAGATGTCCCCATGCCAGCTGCCAGAAAGGTCACCTCTAAAACTTTCTCTCCCCAGTACATCATAGTTGTTTCTTAATTAAGTCGAGAAGGAACTTTGGAAGTTCTAACATACTGGATTCTTACTTGATAATTTAATTTTATATATATATATATATGTGTGTGTGTGTGTGTGTGTGTGTGTGTGTGTGTGTGTGTATGTATCCATTTATATAGAGAGAAATATGCAAAATACAATTAAACATACCTGCAACAGCAGTTCTTGTAGCTGGGCTCTCTTCTGTTTTATCCGTTCAATCCGCCTCTGTTTCTCTATCTTAAAACAGAAATGTAAATGCACCAGTGTAATTACCAAATTCACCTTGCCTACTTCATTGTGCCAAAGTCAGTGGGCTTTAAAGCTACCAGCGTGGCAGCACTGTTACTGAAATCTATTCTTCCCTTTGTAAACGGTGGTGAACTCCATGGCATGGTGAGTAAACTGCAAAAGCTTTTCAGACATAACCATTTGTCACATTTACTTTCCAAATGGACTAATTACAGGATCCTGTTTTCCATACAGGACAACTAACAAACCAGATTTCTCCTGCAGCTTTCTAATGCTGGACTGTGAAGTTACAGGTGACTTCCACTTTTTTTGACTACTCAATCTGTGATTTGATCAAATTGAAAAGACTTCAGCAACAAAGAATGAATGAGGAATAACATCTGCTTCATCTACACCAGCATGGTGTCACTTCCTTGCAGCACTGGCAGTAACACCAGTGTACTGGGCAAAGCTGCCTTGAATGTTTGCGACGGTAACGGTGCTGCACCCCGACACGGCCAGTACCACGGGCTGGTTTCAAACACGCCCTGCGGAAACGCTGAAGAACTGAGCACGCTGACAACAGCAGCGACAGCCCTTTTGCTTCACAAATGTTTTATCTTCATGTCATTGTTGCTACCAACACTGTATCACTGTTCCTAGAATATTAAAACTCAGCTTAAATTACATTTTCCTTGAACTACTGAAACTAAACAATGTAATATTTTAAGTCTTAGCTGGCTTTAAAAAAATAGTATTTTTTGTTGTTGTTTACAATGCTTTTATTTACATTTAATGATTAAAATGCTTTCTTCAGAGCACGGTGTATAACCTTCTCCACTGGGACACACACGTAACTCTTAAAAGCAATTAAAGATTTTTTTAAAGATATGTTTTCTGTATAACAACCTATTCTGCATTGATTTTTTTTTTTAGATAGCCTTATTACAGAATTACATTTGGAGAAGAGTTGGCACCTTCTTACACTGATTTTTAAGGAAATCTTCTGATTTACACACCATGAAAATGCAACTTTATTTCCCAATATGTCACAGAAAGTAAAATTTTAAGAAAATGTGCCCCACTTCCATTTTCTGTATACGTAGTTAAATCTTGAAACAACAAATGGCCCATGATCACTGCAGGTAACACAAAGGCATTTAAGTTTGTTATTAATAACAGTAACCTATACTAGGGATAATGCATTCCCATGAATGCAGGTGAAGTGCAAATTTATCAATCGGAAACAAGCAAAAACCCATGCCTGGCATGCAGCCATCAGCCACACCTCCTCCTTGGGTGTGCATACCGACTATGCTGCTGGAACAGACAAGATAATAAAAGCATTTTTCTTAGTGCATGTAGGACAATAGGTACCTTCTGAGGTACCTAATGCAATCAGTATCCCCAGTCTAATACATGAGGGATATAATACAATAATACATATTTCAGGACATTCACTACAGCACTCTGCAGTAACTTATTCTTTGTATGCATGGAGCATTTGCCCTGAAGAACAAGCAACATTTCTGCATATAAAGTCTGTCAGCCTTGCAAAAGAGGTAACTTTTACTCTGCTGGGAAAAAAAAGAAAAGACACAGTGGAAAACTTTACATTTTTCCTGCTAGTCTGTAAATTAGTTGACATCCTAACTCTTATTTTTAAATTCAATTTCTTGAATAATGGTGTCTTCAAACACATGCATTAATTGCAAAACAAGCTTCCTTTAAATATACATGACTTTGTCAGCATAACTGTACCATAAATTTTCTTTCTTTTATGCTTAATTCGGGCTACTATGACCTTTAGGTTTAATGTTATCCCTGGCTTAAGTAGTGCCCACTTTTTATAAAAAGAGTTTAAAACTTACTTATGTAATGTATGCTAAGTAAACATGAACTAGGAATATATAAGCATATTTCAAATCACTGAAATATTAAAAGCAATTCTGGGAGGTATTACAAATATATCATACATTATGAACATACCATATTGTTACCACAACCCATCAACTGTATAGAATTTCCCATCTACCTCACTTTACCTCTAGATTCTGACATTCCTGAGCTGAGTTTGTAGGAAGGCCAATCCATCGGATTTCCTTTTTCTCCTTTGAAATTATGTTCATTGCCATCAGTACGTTAAGAGCATCATAAACTCTCCGTCTAATATTTTTCTGATCATAAGCCTGCTAAGAAAACATTGGGTATTAATTACAGCAAGTACTCAGAAAAGTTATAAAGACTGAACCCTTCTTTCATAGATGAGTAAAACAGGAAGAGACAAAATGTCAACTGGAGTCAGAGTGGTACTAAAACATATAGCTCCATTTATAATGTATTCTGGAACCCACATATGCATGTTTGCAAATGAAAGCCTGAGTCCTGCATGAAGCCACTGTGCAACAATTGCCATTTTGGTGTCAAGACTTTATAGGGTAGGTATGATGAGTTCAATTTTTTTTAAGTGAATCTCTGGGCAAACTTCTCTATGAACTTATAGAGAGTTCAATTATGTTAATTCTACTTATAGAATATATATATTTTTACACACACACACACACACACACAATATCTGGGATACAGCTAAGAGAAGAAAGCTATGGAGTGTAGCAGGACAATGCAGAAACAAAAAAAGGACAGAATTCCATGATAAATAGGGCACTTTTGCACGGATATGAAACAAATTTCACCATGCATTTGCTTACCGAATCTGCAGCTAGTTGGCTGTTAGAATTTATGAATTCTGATACCAGCTCATCAGCCACTTCGTTGTATGAAGTTGTTCCTTTACGCTGGACTTTTTCACATACTTTCATTGAAAAATGCCTCAGACCTTTCCCATTTTTATCTCCTTTTTTGCTTCTCTTACTGTAAAGAGAAAAGTAATTACTTAAATATATTGAATTTTAGTAAGCATATTTGATACCCATGTCTTTTCTCTGTTGGCTGTAGTTTCTACAGTATCGGGTTTTTTTGATACATTCTGCTAGGTAGATGCTAAAAAAAGTGTATGTAAATCATCTCCAGGTAGTGATACAAAAGATGTGAAAATCTCACAGCGGGTCTTAATGTGCCTGGAAACCAGACCTAGAGACAATTGTCATGTTGGTGCTCAAATCAAAAGGGCTCAGATGATAGATATCACTATTTATGGTACAGCAGAAACAACCTTAATTCTTCTCATGACTTATGTTTAATATCTGTGCTCTCAGTTCAGATTGACAGACAAGACTGCTTTTAGAAAGCAAGTACATACTCATGAGCGCTCTGCTGCTAAATTCATTACTGTCAATTGTCAAGGTTATTTTCTGCTCCTTCTTCTCCCTCCAAAAAAGGAAGAGCAAAAAAAGGAATAAAAATTATATGATCAACAGTTCATCACACCAACTGGCGTATGAAGTGGGCTCATAATTGAGGAATAGTTACACCATGCAGTACTATCATCAGGTAGCAGAGATTCTTAAAATTATTTTAAACCCAGCATACACTTTCCCCCTATTCCTAACAGGATATTTTCCAACTGAACCATGTGCTGCACTCAACTCTGTTTTAACAGCAGAAATATTTAGAAATTAATTTTCTTTTCACAACGTATTTTCTTTTAACCTGAGAAGGTTATACTTTATAAAGTCAATTTAATTTTCAGCTGACTCTAATTTGAGGGTGATGTTTCCATTGTAGATGAATTTTCTGTTAGTTTTTACATTCTAAATGCAGCGTTTCATAAAATGGAAAAAAAAAATCTACAAAGAGTAGCTATAAAGAGCTATGTAATCAGATGTTTTAGATTCTACAAGTAAACATAGTCAAGAATTATCAATATTAATTAAGGAAAATGTTAAAGCGCTGTGAAAGAATTGCTTGAAAAGGGGGGACTTAGTGGAAAACTAGGGCCTAACGGAGCTTGCTTGGGGTGAGACACCGCTGCAGTTCCAGGCTGGTTGGTTCGCACGGACTCTGCTCCTCCACGGTTCCCTCGGCAGGACAATCTGCCCTCCTCGCAGCTGCCGCCCTTGAAGGGCAGAGCGGAGGGAAGACGCCGCGGCCAAGCTCTGTTGCACTCCCTGTGCTGGGCTGCTGCTAAGCTGCACAGTAGCTGTCTAATGGGAGATACACGGTAAGATGTCTGGTGCTGAGCCAGCAAGGGTGGCAAATCACCCCTTTCGGGTGATCTTTGCTCATTATAATGCCAACACACACCTGCACCCCAAAAGTTACCCACTTCTGAAGTACGACCGCTCCTCACTGAGCACATGCTCTAGATTTTCCTTTGACTGTGCCTTTAAATGAAAGCGAGAGACTTTCTCAACAATCAATAACAAAAGTTAGTGTGACTACAGTCACTTAAGCTCCACCAAAATGTGAAAAAAATATATAAAAGGTAAACTAAGGAGGAAAGAAATGGGAGGGAAGACCCCATCGTAACTTCTGGGATTGGTCGACAGGCTGAACCCCTTTCTTCCCCTCGGGTCGGGACACCACCTGAGGAGATCCCTCTCCCATCTCCTTGGGTGAGCGATGATTGCACATTTGTACATCAGAGCCAGATAAAAACCCCATGCTGTAGTAGAGAATTTCCTGTACTGACATCCGAAACCTGCTTTGTAACTTGCATTTGAATCAATCCTGCTATTCATGAACTCCACTCCTTGGTTTGAAGGTGATTGGACCTACCGTCAACAGACGGTTTGTGAATCCAGTGCTGCTGGAGTCAGGCCTGTATATCCCACAGTATTTGATATCCCTATTAAGAGATGAGTCCAGCTACTCTCAGTCCCTCTAACCTCTCAGGATCGGCTGGACTGCAAGGGGAGTCATCTCTGACCAAATATAACCCCTTTCAAACTGCAAGAAGTGCCTAGAGAAAAATCCTCTTAGGAGTATGTTCACAAAGGCTGAACAAAAAAGCAGGATCATTTGGTCCTAGTAAAACAACGCTGTCTTCCGGTTCCAGCAGAAGTACATCTGAAGGTGTGAATAAGTTTTAAATTACCAAAATGTTGAAATGACAGTTAATACTACATCAATTTTTAAAAGAACTCAAGGCCTGACATTTATTTGAAATGACACTGAGTGTCATCTGTCCTATTGCTTCAAATTTACTGCAGAGTACACAGATGGGAACATCTGCTTTTATGGTCTTCCAATAGACAAAGAGGCCCAACAGGTAAAACTAAATGAACAGAGTTAGAAAGCTGTGTGTCTTCTTCAAGTGAGTTACCTCTAGAAAAGAACAGTTTTCACTGGAGAATGATTTTTTTTTACTATATTATTTAAAAACCTTATTAAAATTTAAAGTTGAATCTGAAATCTTCATGTTTTCTTTTTAATTACACATTGTTCTGAGGTATTATATTAACAAAATGTGAGACTGTCTGAAAAGTTTCAGTCTTGACAATGACAGTAATATGAAAAGCTGGAAGCAAAATACCATAAGCCTAATGCATGAGTTACACTACATAACAAAGCACCATTCTCCTTAGCATTTCTGAACAAATAAAAATTGGCCAGTATGTTTCAGCAGAGGCATTTAAAATGCTCAGTTGATTTTTTTTTTAATTACAGAAGTGGTTTGATGTTATGCTTCAAAGGGACATATAATTTTAGAGAAATGGAAAATATCAAGTTCTCCCTTGTTTCTGCAAGTCTGAGTTCAGAGCAGTGCTAGAGGGAGTTCAGAAGTGCATCAAAAGGCAAGAGTGAAGCTTGGTACTGTCACCCGTAACAGACTAAAAATATTAAAATGTAAGAATGCTTTTGAAAATTTCAAATTTATCTCAAAAAAAGAACACTGAAAAAAAAAGAAGAATGGTAAAAAATAGCAGATTTTTTTTTTACAAAGTCTAACACCTATGCAATTAATTAGTTTGAATGATTTCTGGTCAGTAAACAAATTATAACATCCTGAATAGATTCAGAGTAGCTCTGGAAACAAAGGAAAAAGATTATTTGCCTACCAGTACTCGTCACATTGAAAAACTAGAACAAAACATTTATGAAAATGTGTTCTGGCTGTTTTTGCAGGATTCCAATTTGGTCTGTAAATGTCAATGTATTTGTTGCAAAGCACTAAAGCCAATAAGTAATGAATAGTGTATATTACACGGGGTAACATTCACTCCCTGCAGTGAAAGCTGTGTTGTAAACTGGACACCTTTCTTTCTGAAGGGCAGCTCTGCAGAAGTAAACCAGGTATGACTGACCGAATACCCTCCACACACTCAGTAACACTCACCTTTCTGAAAAATCTGATTCTATAAATTCTCGAGTCCGTTTTCTGTCCCTAGAAGATAATTAAATTATCAGAGACAGGTGCATACATTTATACTAATAAAATCTACACATTTGGTGATTAGCTAGGTATTAATATTTCCTCTTAAATGTTTACTGAAAGAGAAAAATAGGGGAACAATTTGACAGAATTTGAGAAGAAAAAGTTATTATTAGAACCGGTCTCAATTTGAGGAATCCTGCCAGTGGATCTCTTCCTCTGCAGCAAAATTGCCATTTTTCCTCCCTGGCAAGCTCTGTCCGTGGTACTCAGTGTCACACTGCGGAAGCGTGGGGTACGAGCGGAGCGGGGCTGAGGCCTGCAACATTCGCTCTGCTCCCTGGGGAACCGGAGAGGCACTGGCAGGACAGCTGTGAGCCAGGCTGCTGCTGTTCCTAACGGAGCCCTCACCATCAACGTGACCTCATCTCCCTTCACTTCCCCTCACTCCCTTCACAGGAAACTAGTGAACAACAGGGCGTGGAGGAGTCTGGGCCTGTACTTCCTCTGGCACTTTCTTCATCAAGGGCTCAGAGCTGGTCAGAGGTCAGACACTTTCACAGGGCCTTCTCTCCTTGGTTGTTCAAATGAAAATATGATCTGTATTATGGAATTCTACGGGGAATGACAATGATCAGCCAATGTGTCTGGAGAACATCTTGCTTGTTTCCTACGGAAAAGCAGCAGACAGACTCACTGCAAGTACTGAGCTCAGCCTGACAGCAGCTGAATAAAAGGGATTTCTCCTTGCTGGTGGTGGGGGACACACTGCAGAGACCGGCTCACCACGTCCGGGTTGGGTGAAGCTCAGGAGAGCTAGTGGAAGCGGATTCTCTGGTTTTGGAAGCTGTGGACTGACACTACAGCTTTCTCCTCATCAAGGTACTCACAAAACAAAGCCGTCTTTGACTTCTTTGTCACATAAAAATCAAAACAAAGCAGATTCAAAAACTGTTTGCAGAAATACACACATTCACATAAGCCTTTTTCCAGGGAAAACCACACTTAAAAATAGCGCTTAACTGGAAATGCTGTTTACAGACTCTATTGTCTGTGGTGGGAATAGCAACTTTGAAGTAAGTAACAGACACTGCGTAAGCACAGGGTGAAGAGAGTCAGAGTACAAACATCATGTTCACATTTCTACCATGTCCTAGATGCTACATTTTCCTACCTGCAAAGCTGGAAAGGCATTACTGACATTCATCACCAATTAGAAAATGACCCAAATGCAGAATTTACTTTTTAATTTTCAGAAGCACAACATTACATCTGAGATAGGTAAGTTCAGTAGTACTGGAAGTCAAAAAAATGTGAATATTGTAAAGACCAGATTTCCTTAGAAGAGTTAAATATATTACATTACTCTAAAGTGTTTCAGAACACTATGAAAACTTTGTGACTCTGTACAATAGTAACAGAAAGACACCACTGATTACATTCAAAAATTGCCATTAAAGTGTTATTCTTAAATGCCTCCTGAAGCACGTTTGACAGCTGTCCTCTTGTTGGCACCTACTGACTTGCTCTATAACAAAGCCACTTGCATATGTCATTAATTTGTGAAAAAAGTAAAGGCTCATCAACTGGTGCCTCTCCACGACCCCACAAAAGCAGACACTGCCATAAAACAGAATTAAAACAGACAGTGACGTGACTGGTGCCTGTAACCCTGTGTTCACACATTCCAGACATCTAAAGTGCAGAACGTGCTAAGACTCTACTCCTTGCGCGAGAACTACAAGCCATAAACCAACATAAGAGTGCAAACAAAGGGGAAAAATGGAACAGATCTGCAAACACCTTTAAATAAAACAAACTCCTTACCCTGGAACCCAGCCAGTAGCTTCTGTTATGTGTGTCTGTGTGACCATTGTTGGAGCTGGATTATAGGGACTCCCAATCAGAACACTCCCTGAATTGGTCAGTCTTTGTGATGTGCTTATGATCTATGAATTTTTTGGGGAAAAAAGAATCTTTTAAGAAAATAGAGGGTAACACAACCAAAATTCATACTAATCATTGGTTCTAAGAAAGAAAAGAAAAAAATACATTTCTGCATCACATGCAAACTGCAGTTAAATATACTGAAGAAGTGTCATTAGAAGATCTTCATATATGACAATAATTACATTGTTGTCAGGTTAAAGATTTTTCCTAACTGTATCTTATTACTATATATTATTAATATGAACCAGGTCTAGACAAATTTAAATACCTACTAGGCACGAGGGGCAGGATTTGCACCTACCTATATCTAATTGTTTATTGGAGAAAACATGTAGGTGATTTATTATTTACTGGAATAAATAAAGCCTTATTTCCAAAGGATGCGTGTCTTACAATTGTCTTCCTTTGGTACCCAAGAAAATCTGAGCTCCAAATAAAACATTCCCTGCAGTTTCTACCATTTACAAGACTTCAAGGCATTTCTGCAAACTAATAAAATGACTTGTTTCAAATATGTTGAATAAAGCATAAACCTGGCAGATATGTTGTTTCATATCCACAGACATTTGTTTAAACAAGTAGAAAACATGGTATCCACCTGAAGGACTAAGCCCACTAAACATGCCTTTACACCCTCCCAATGCTACACTGTGGTTACATTCTTCTTTCTTCTTTTCTGAAGAAACTAACTTATCTGATTTTGCAAATAGCTTAACAGAGAGACACAAATAAAACCATAAAATAACAAGAAACACAAAACACAGGTACAGGTTAGATATTTGCTGTTTGATATTAGAGAACAGCAGATCCCCCAGGTGGTTGCGTTTTCACACTGTATGGAAGTACAGGCATTAACTCCTTTAAGGGCATTAACTCCTTTCAACCTACAGCTACATTGGTTTAAAAAAACAGGTATTTTGTGGTAGGATGGTTAATATTGAAATGCTTCTGAAATTCAGCACTGCTATCACACCACAATGTGAGCAAGAAATGGTAATGCAATATTTCAGGTAAACAATAATCCAATCCAGTATCTTGTTATATTAATTTCTTGCAATACTATGAGCAAGGTTTATTTTCAGTAAACATATGGCTTTGCCAGCATGTGGCTGAGACATGCCAGAGAGAAAAGATTTTAAGCATATTGCTACCAAAATGCATTTCAGCACATTCCCTAGGGCCTCACATTCCCCTACCGGGTAAAGCAAGTGCAATTTTCATTTAAACCTCGAGGCAGATGCACCCCGAGAGCCTTCTGCCTGCGCCGCGCAGGCTTCTCGTGCCGCGCAGCCGCGGTAGCGGCACGGCTTTACTGCACTGCTACCTTCTCAACTACAGCCAACGCAGCCTTTATTTCCATTTAAAATGGCACACATCGGGTACTTTCAGAGGACTCATTCCATTTCTGACAGCCAGAAATTTTCCAATACACCTAAAGTAATCACATAAATTTACAACATAAGACAAACAGAAAAAAATCTCATATCCTAATTCTGCCAAGTGTAAGAACCTCTGCAGGAAGTAGTATCTTTTTCATCAATAATGCTGTGCTGTTGCATTCACTCATAGAGATTAATGGCTATTACTGCGGTGCCCTGCCTCAGCTCCCAGGCTGGGTCTAGCACAGGGGAGAGGCAGGGAGGAGATGCACCTGCAGTGCACCAAGAGCTCACTGCCAGACAGGGGCTCCTTGCCGATCATAGCCAGCACTGGAAAGCGATGGCAAATTGTAGCATGCAGGGGCACATGGTCAGGGCAACCTCTGACACTAACACGAACTCAAACTAAGAACTTCAGTCCTCACCAAGATGTAGTGTGTTAACTGAATCTAACGCGACTGCAAGAAGCACCAGTTAAGGACACCTCTTAGAAAGCACGTTGAGCACCATGTGTTAGCGAGCACGTGCCAGGCTCTTCGAATGGACTTGCCTGAGTTTTTCACATGACAAAAAGCCACTGGAATGAACTGATGGTAACTAGCTTTTTTGTAGCATTTTTCAAAATAAAGTTAGTGTCACTATATAGACTATTCAAGGCAAGATAACACAGGACAGTTTTATACAAGTTGAACAAAAACTATATATTTAATACAATTAAAATATATTTATATTAGTGGCATGTTAAATGGCACTATTTTGAAAAAAAAATGTGGCAAAAAAGCAAAAGAAATGTCATCAGCAAAGGAAGCAAAATTTGATATAAAGTATGTTGGCAAGCAAAACCTAACTGGCACATCTTAATATGGTGGAGAACCAGGCATTTTTGAAACAGAAATAGTAAGTGACATTTATATAGGAAAAGTAAGTTTCATGGGCGCAAAGAAAGTTATTATAAGTCAACTAGTGTAAAATTCCAATGAATTTTGTGAATTTGTGATCATTCCATTGTTCATGTTTTGTCTGCTGATAGGAGATATATGAAGTTACTAATAAGACACAGTTTTAAATTAGTTACAAACTGCTACTGAAGTTACAAAACAAACAAACTGCAGAGCTAAATTATCTGTTCTCAAGATCTGATCTGAGAAGCAAGCTAAAGTTTCCAGACATGCTGGACACCTCCAGGAACATGCCAACTTAAAGACAACAAATTTTGTTGAATACTTTTTGTAAGAACACTTTGATAGCAAACCAGGCAAACCTGGTTTAGGGACATCACATTTTTCGTAACAAACAGTATCTACCTGTGACAAAGTCCTGAAATAGATTCCTCTATGAATGAGGGAAAAAACATTATCCCAAATCCAATTAGGATAAAAGCCATTGCAGAACAGTAACAATTTGCGTTGTAAAGAAGACGCACAACAAGTATTTCAAAACCATGCCCAATGGTTCTTTTATACAGACTAAGTGCTTTGTAGCCAGGCATCAGATTACCAAAAGCAGGTCACTGTTATTGCCTGTTTTGTCCTCTGGCCACCAGAAAAACTAAAATGTTTCTCAAAACCAGCTCTTTAGTGGCTATACTGTCATAAAGTTACCTCTGCAGGAAAAAGTTCTGGAGGAGGGGGTTCCAACAAGCTAAATCTCTAGGCACATATCAGAAGCATTTACTCTTCAGCAATTCTGGAGATTTAAGTGAGGAGATGGCTCAAAATATTGAAAGGGCATCAGTGATGTTCTTCATGAGATTTTTTTGTTTCATATTGAGTCAAAATCAATTTTGAATAATAGGAAAAATGTGAATTGGTGAAACTGCATGTGTTTGCATGATTAATTTCCTCTCAAAGCCAGAAAGTTAGATATGCTCCACGTTGTACACAAAATGCTTACAGGGACTGGCAGTTCCAGCATGTTGAGCTTGCTGCACCTGTGCAGTGTTAAATCTCCACTGAGGGGGGAGCTTTAAACCACTGGGCAGCTTCTGCAGCTAGAGCAGAAAGCTGTGAGTTCCTAGCACAGTTCACATCTTCATTTTTCATGTTTCCACAATACATAAACAGGAAGTCATGCACCTAGTTACACAAGTTTAGAATTACTGGAGTTGCAAAACTTACCATTTGGGGTCCAACATTCACATTTATTGGTCCTAAGGTTTTTGGCAAAATCTTAGTTGGAGAGTTGGTGCTGGAAACTGGTAATGTAATTATTGAAATATTGCCTAAGAAAAAAAAAAGTGATTAAAGAAATGAGTTCTAAATTACTTCCTTGGACAGTAATATATGAATAAAATTTTGGTGAATTCTCAAATACTTGTAACAATTTGGAAACAGGTTAACTTCTTTGTCCTGTACACTCACAGAACAGCCACCAGACCTTTTAGCAGATGCTACAAAGATGCCTCACAAAATCATAAAACTTCCATTATTTTCTCTTAAAAAATTACAAGTTACCATTGTATTCCCATAAACTACTTCCTCTTGCTTAAGAGGCAGTGCAAATAACTTACCATGCCTCAGTATTCCAACTGAGTATTCAGGAGTTTACAAGCAAGCTCATGTACTTATTTATAATCATATGCCGGGATAAAATCTGCAGCCATAACCACTGCCCATCTGACCATTCTAAAGTTTGACAACCATGAGCCGAGCTGAGCCAAGCCAGCCTAGGGTACCACTGTAGAGATGGAGTAGCCGAGGCCTTTACAACTTGCCTGAAATAACAGAGCAGACAGCTGGGTGTCAGGATCTCGCCAGTTGTCTAGCCCATCTCCAACCCAGCCTGCGTCCATCAGGAGTTTATCATCTTTGTGATCTCGGACTGCTTAAGGATCTAACTCATCCTCCCTTCACACAAGGGAACAACGTTCAACCTGTGAAAGTCTCAAATGCTGGTATACAAAACTGTCATGCAGCACCACCATGCTCCAAGTCCACAATTTCTCAAGCTGTTTTCCCAAACTACTTGAAGCAGTGAATACGCTTATTTACCTAAGGACATTATGGCAGCAGCAGCTCCCACCTCTATGACAGTTTCAAACCAAGAGCGCTGTGAATACTGCCCAGTCAAATACCTCCTCCCACTCTTAGGCAAAACCTGTTTCAAAATTGGAAATTACCGATACGTCTGGAAACAGAACCAAGGAAAAGAAAGAGTTGCTACCACCTCCTAACCCAGAGAGTCGGTGTGGGTTGAGCTGGCGCCGTGAGCCACGCGGACGAGCTCCTGCAGAGCTCCTGAGCTCTGTGGCAGACACAGACCGGGGGCACCTGAGGGAAGGGGTTTGTTTGGAACAGTGCAGCCACAGATGGGTCCCTCCTTCCTGCTCTCCTCATTCAGCTTCACCCTGGTGGACCCAAATCAGCTCAGGGTTTGCAGACGTCTCTGCACTTCAGTCTTTTCTGATAACGGTTGTTCTTTTTCACTGCCTGCTTTTCTCCTTTCACTTGGTCCTGAACCACGGTCATTTTTTCACTTAGCATAGCTATGTTCTGCCACATCTCTAAGCCCATTAAGACAGCAATACAATCTATCTGTTTCTATCAAGCAAAAGCAACACAACTGGGACAAAAAGAATGCTTAACAATAACAACAACAAATCTTCATTGTTTACAGCACAAAAATAGAGTTAAATGAGAACCACAATGTCTTACCTTAAGAAAAAAACCCACAGATACTAGAAATATTAAAAATGTGAGACACTCAGGTCAATATTTAAATGATCTGTACAAATTCCGTTGATGTCTGGAGCAACTCTAACACTAAATATTAATTTAATTTTTCAAAAGGCAGATCTGCATCTGAAAATGTCTTTAAAAGCTCCCTGAATGTACTGAATAATTCTCTATTTCCCAATTCATTCAGTCACCTAATTGAGGTAGAAAAAAAGCTTATAAAACACACACTCACAAAACCAACCCCACAGCAAATCCTTATTCCAGTATGAAATATCTTTTCTGAGGTAGTAGTGACACAGAAAGCAAGATCCCAGTAGTTTACAGACACTGACATTTCTTTACAGATTTACATACACTGCATTCACATTGTTGGCTCAAAACAGTTCTCTAAACTGACTTGCCAGTGTTTTTTTCCTTTTTCTACTTCTTCAGGAAGTTCAGCTCAGCATTTCCCAAGTTCTGCTTGCATATCCTCACCAAAACCTAGTATCCCTCACTGCAGACTGTGGCAACTGATGTTGTCCATCACTTTCCAGGTACCCCTGTAGCGATTTTCCTCTTTGCTGCTACAGGAATTTTCCTCTTAGCTCATTTGACTCTTTTTCCTCCGAGATCATCTCAGACTACTACTCCTTGACGTATTTTTGACAAGGGAAAAGAAAGGCATGACTTTATCTGGTACCTACGATGTCTATAAGGTGGCATGGAATGGGCAGTGACATTTTGAAATTTTAGCATTTAGCTTTAAGTTCCCTTATTCACTAAGTTGCACTACACCATAATCTTCAGCAACACTTCCTAGCTTGCAAGAAGTCACAGTGTAAGATCAGATCATGTCAGACCTACTATACCGTGTAACTATCACTGCTAGTGGGCAGTTAAACACATGCAGGGGTATCTAGCACCCCAGAAAAATCACTCTGCACACAGCTGCTTTCTTTTTCAACATGTGGTACATACAGCATAATCAGAGTGTAATCAATTATCAATCAAGCATTCCTTCCCCCTTGTTTTTATTTTTTTCCAGAGATAATGTTGTGGTCCAGATATTCACATGAACTCAACTGTTCCAAATACTTAACAAGAGAACCACCATGTTTCCATCTCCCTTCACAACAAACATGGTAACTGGTTCAATTAGTTGCCACAAAAAAATAATGCATTTCCAGATAGATCACAGAGGTGCCCCAACCTTAAAAAAAAATAACATTTTGCAGACCATAATCAGGGTCACTGCTACTTCCCCTGTAAACAGAGCTAAGCCAAACTTCCAAGGACACTGTCTGTGCCACCCATGAGCCCGCACTGCTGCGGGTGTCTGCTGGTCAATGCCAACGTGAGGCCGTGCCTGGAGCATCCGGCACCATGCCCACTGGGATAAGAGCTCCAGGCCATTGGCCGTCAACTGGAAACCGTCGCTTCAACTGGCAGTGGCACAGAGAGCAGGCTCTGACTCGCTAGGATGACTAGCTGTATTTTACACAAAATTTTGGAGTTTAGTTCACATCTTTTTGCTGAAGAGTTGGTAATTCCTGAAGTTTTGGAAGCAAAGTAGTATTGCAGAACAGTAAGCACCAGCAGAAACAACCTCTTCAGGTCTTATTTAAAGACCTGTATAGAGAAAGGAAACCAATGTCACACACACTAGATAATCTAAAAAGATATTTGATTTGTGTACTCATCTTAAAATAGTGAAATATGACCATGTTGGATATATAAAATCACATAGTAGTTCTGAAGGCTTTAAGCAATGCTTTTAATCAGATGGTGCACAAACATCAAGTCTTGAAAATGTCCATCACATGGGCACTGAATCTATATATTTTCATGTTTCACGGAAAAACAGCACTACATACAGTGAGAAGCTGAACACAATGGGACCCACCAGCTTCCTAGTCAACAGTAATTTTATCACATAGGTGGAAAAGGTCAGGATAGACAAATCCAACTAGGATAATTTGTACATTAACATTCATTTCTTTCCCAGTAGTTATTACCACTTTACCCATGGAAAACTGAGCACATGGGAAAGACACTCAGACTTTCTGACAGAGGTTATATGCATAATATGTAGGAAAACACCACAAATTGAGCATGCTCATCACTTATACACACGGAAATCAGGACCTGCCAGTGGATGTATGCACACTTCTCTTAAAACAAATGCACTTTCCTTGCAGACACATTATTTTACCATCATTCAGAGCAATTAATGTTGCTGTGCTTTCCTATATAGAAAAACATAATCACTAGATAACTATAATGCTTTGTGGCATTTGAGAAAGATTGTTATATGTCCACACAGAAATAATTCCACTTACATCAATCTTTACTTCAAGCAGTCAGCTAAGGAACAAAGTTAATCATCTTTATATGCATGTTCCCTCACATACACATACCAACAAGACATCCCACAAGACATTTTAAGTCTGTGCACTGCATCCTAAATACCTTGGTTTCACGCAAGAAACTCATGTAAGAGTAGGGAGCTAGAGGAACTTTAGTAACTTGTTTTCTTTTTTTTTTTGAACTCATGTAAGAGTGGGGAGCTAGAGGAACTTTAGTGACTTGTTTTCTTTTTTTTTTTCTTTTTTCTTTTTTTCTTTTTTTTTTTTTTGCAGGTGCAGGTCTGCAGCTTAGTTGTGAAGATAATCAGAGGCAACATCCATCTGAGAATCTACAGCATCTGTCAGAGCTGGTTTGAAGAAAATGATAACTGATGGGAAGCACAGATCAACCAGCTGGGTACCACACAAAAAGTATGCCAACAAAAAGTATTTGAATTTTTAGACAATATGTCAGAGAAGTTTGGATGATTTCTGTTTAGTATTCAAAACTCAAAACAAACATCCATGTATTAATTACAGCCTGGAAGACCTCCTAGGTAAGAATAATAAACAGTCATTTCAAATTTAAACAGCATGCCCTACTCTTAATAAAAAAGAAAATGGTTCCTAGTTATGAAATAAGTGAAGTTCATTAGGGTATTCTGCAGTAATATATATATATGTTATTTTCTCATATTCCTCTATTAAGCTAAAACAGTAGTAACTGAGCTTAGAAATCAAGACACAGTATTATAAAGCATACAAAAAAGCTAGATATTAACATGTAAGTATATTTTCCAATACATTTCCTCATTTGATTTTTGCACAAACTTAGTAGGCTACAAACATAATTTTAAATAGATGGTAGGAGTGAGCATGCACACACATACACACACATACATATATATAAATAAAAATAAATATATGAAATTAAAAATACCTGTAGGAAAGAAAAAAAAGAGCAGATGGTATTTCAATGTATTTCAGGCTTACACTAAGTTTTCAGTCTTTTGTGGTTCAATGTGGAACAAACTTACAGGTGGTATTAGTTCATGACTCTCAGAATACCAAATCTGGGCATACTGATAATCAATGCAGCTGTCTTAGCCATTTTAGCAGAACTTTTCAAATACAAAATGAACTCCCAGGGCTTTCTGGACTCAGGCTGAAATCCCCAAGCTCCTGGTCAGATATTCAGCAGCACTAAAACTTATCCTAGCCAACCTCATCACCAGTGCTTGGTCTGGCCTCCAAACCAGCATACGAGCTCTACAGCTCAGCAGAGAACAAGCAAAGAAAGCAATCTTCACCTTCTGCGAGCGAATGACAGGTGTATTTTCCAGCTCAGTCTGCTGCCTGATCCTGTGAACCACCCCCACGCTAGTGCTAGCCACACATGCTGCTACTCTGGCACAAAGCAAAGGACAATGTAAGAACATCTGTGAAGAGGCCAGAACGAACTTAAACTGGCACTACAGTAAGAAAAATAAGTGCCTATCAAACCGTATACCACACAAAAACTACTTAAAACTACTATCAAAACTACCTCAAAACTGTATCAAAAGGCAGAAAATGGTAAATATATATATGTATGCGCACACATACAAAGACAGGCATGTCTTCCTGGTTCTATTACAGTAGTACAGGCATAAGGCAGCCTTTGTCTTGAGATATTTGTCTAGCAACTCCAGTCATCTGAAGTGACTCTTGTACAAATTTGTACCCATACACACAGTACTATCCACAAGCACAACCCAATGGACTCTCTTCATGTCACAGCTAGTTTGAAGGAAATCACACCTGATGGAAAGCACCAGTCAACCAGTTAGGGTTTACACTGGATTAAATTACATGATCAGGACTTAATAAAAATTATCTATAGCAATAAAGAAAAGTCTTATTTTACTGAAACCAAGTTCACAATGAACTTGTACTATGAGATAGAATTCCCACTCAAAAATTTCAGTTGGATCCGATTTAACGATTTTTCCTCACAGAGTCTCTTGGGAGGCTGGATAGTCTAGAGTTGGCCTCCTTTTTCTCTTCACAGCAATTAAAGGGAAATGCCTTGTAAATTAATGGAATATAAGAATGTAATAACAAAAAATTAAAAATTAAGATTTACTGCAACTATTGTTAGACAGTATTTTTTGTTTTAACATGAGATTCAAACATGTCACTCCCATAGCAGTCAAGTCGACCAGTTGAAACCAATTGCTCCTTTCTCCACATGCCATTAGCCTGTAACCATAAACTTGCTTTTCTTGCACAAAAGTGTCTCAATTGACTTTACACAGATACATTTTAAGTCAGCCAGTAGGTTTTGGCCAGGCTGAAAACAGAATTATTAACCTGTGAAATAACTTTTATCTTTCATGTACAAGAATATTCTATAGAAGGTTCATACATTTTGAGAAGCATTCACAAATATGATCTTTAACTTTGCAGGTCATTTATTAAAAAATTGCCTAGTGTCTGTCCCAAGATGCTTTTCTGTATATTTAATTTATCTAATTTTGTAAGTACTCCCTTCCTTCCACGTCATGCATTTTCAAAATAAGTTAAATAAATAAAATCAAGATTTTTGAAGACATATAATTACAAACACAAGTTATCAAACTCAAGTTAATCCTTACTAGACTTTTTTCCCCCCTCCATTTAGAAATAAGATGGTTACATCAAATACATACACCTCCTCACTCCCCCCACGAGCTGTGAGGCTGAAACAATCTTGTTACAGAACAGACATTACCCTTTTCTTTTCCCTGAACCAAACCCTCACTAAGAGCGTGATTTTTTTTACTGCTTGTGCTGCTGCCGCTGCAGTAGTTCTGAGCA